AAAATAAAAGAATGCAACCACTCACTTATTCCTCAAACCCAGAGGTAACTGCAGTGGGGTGTTAGTTTGTTGTTATTTGAGACTCACAGTTCAAGGCCAGCCTGGTCTCCATTGTGGGTTTCAGGCCAGCTAAGGCTATATAGTGAGAACCTGTCTCAAAAAAAAAAAAAAAAAAAAAAAATTTTGTATGCTTGATCTCATTTTGGATGGTTGGGAGCCACCATGTGGTTGCTGGGAATTGAACTCAGGTCCTCTGGAAGATCAGCCAGTGCTCTTAACCTCTGAGCCATCTCTCCAGCCCCCAAAACCAGAAGTTCTTGTTGGGGTGCTGAGCATAGTGGTACACACCTTTAATCGCAGCACTTGAGAGGTAGACACAGGTGGATGTGTGAGTTCTAGACTAGCCTGGTCTGCATAGGAAGTCATGAGACCTTGTTTAAAAAAAAAAAAAAAATCTACTGGTTGGGGATATCTCTGGTAGAGGGCTTGCCTAATACACATTCAGTTTTCAGCACTGTCAAAAACAAAGCAAACATAAGTGACATAGCACCTCACCCCCATTAATTGAAGGCTCTCTTTCAGAGACCAGAAAACATTTGGTGTCATACTTAAAGGTTTTGGAGCTGTATTACTGAGCCTGTTGCTAGGTGTTGGTTTAGAGTGAGATTCTGACGCTTGCTTTGTGTGAGTACTAACTGCTGCGCCAGTTCTGCAGATTTACACCTCAAGTGTAGACTTGTGTTGTACACTCTTCTGACTGGCAGGGCTCAGGCTTTCCATATTAGTTTTTGAGGTGGGTGACAGATTGGTGGAGAGCTTCAGCACCAGTGCCATCACAGACTGCGTTTGTTTGGCTGATGGTGACTTGAAGTCTTTGGTCTAGTCATGTTCCTGTTGGGTTGGAAAATCATACAGGTTTGTTTGTGGGGCTGCTCGTCTCCTCCTGCCTTTGCTTCCCAAGTGCTGGGATTACAGGCTGTACCATCATGCCTGGCCTGTAGTGGGTGGCTTACTCAAGTACTTAAGATACAAAATAACTGCCTTTCTTTCAATAGCCCCAGCCCCCCTTCCTTACCCTGGGATTGCAGTCTCCACGTCCTGGTTACCTGCTGGTTTTGTCTCCTGTGGATATTTGCTCTCTACCCAGTGTAATTTTGTTGTCAGCACAACTGATTTAGGCTTCCTAGGGGATTAGTGAAGCACATCTCCAGATGTGTCTACGATGGTGGTTTTCAGAGACAATTTATTTCATCATGGGGCTCTGGCCTAACCTGTGGATTAACTAATCCTCTGCCTGTCTCTGCCTCCCCAGTCTTGGATTAAAGGTGAACGCTACCACTCTTGGCTTCTGTTGCCATCCTTTTAAAAATGAGAAACTGGGCTGGAGAGATGGCTCAGCAATATAGCACAGGCTGCTCTAGCAGAGGGCTGGGTGCAGTCCCTAGCACCCACATGGTGGCTCACAAACATTTGTAATTACAATTTAGAAAAACAGACACTCTTCTGGTCTCCACAGGCACCTGGCATGCAAGTGATATACATATTGCATGGACGTAAAATGTTCATGTACATACAAAAATAAAAAAATAGGCCAAATAAGAAGACACCAGACAGCCGGGTGGTGGTGACGCACTCCTTTAATCCCAGCACTCAGAAGGCAGAGGCAGGCAGATCTCCATGAGTTCAAGACCAGCCTGGTCTACAGAGTGAGTTCCAGGACAGCCAGGACTGTTTCACAGAGAAACCCTGTCTCCAAAAAGAAAAAGAAAAGAATGAAAACAGACACTAGACATTGCAGTGCCCCCCCCACACACACACCTTGTTCTGTCCTTCTCAATGCTGCAACATTGACCTACACCCCCAGCTCCAGTGTCACTTGATGTTTACAATAAGGACACTTGTGTGTGTGCTCCATACTCCCATATTCAGAGTTAAACCAGGGGCTTCACATAGCAAGCAGGCAGGCAGTGAGGTATAGATCCTTAGTGGTGAAGGCTGACTTAGAAACCAGTTCCTAGGGCTGCTTTGGAGTGCTGGGAAAGAATGTATTTTAACACCAAGCACATAGAACACCAGTGTCAGTTCTCTCTCTCTCTCTCTTTTGACAGGGTTTCTCTGCGTAGCCCTGTCCTGGAACTCACTTGCTGGCCTTGAACTCAGAGATCCGCCTGCCCCTGCCTGCAGAGTGCTGGGATTAAAGGCGTGTGTAATCACCTCCAGGCCAGAGTCAGTTCTCTTAATACCTATGTGGCCTCTGTCTTCTGTTCCATAAAATGACAAGTGATCCCTGTTAAAATAATTGAGACAGTGAGACTGTGAGGGTTAAGTGGGAGAATGGGAACTTGGCATGTTAGCCCAGTAGAGTTTCACTGAAGAGAATTCAGTAGTCTTGTGCTGAGCTCTTCCCTGCCAGGAAGATGCCCTCACTTAAATTGTTCTCATCTTCCTGAGTTTGGTTCTTTATAAATGAATCCATTTTCTAGTAAGTGTGTCTGCCTTGGGAGACAGTCATGTGTCTTTAAAAACATTGCAGCTGACTCACTGAACCTGAGATGCTAGAGCAGGCCACGGGCTATTGGTGACCTCATCACAGTGGCTTAGTTGTGTTGATGCTACCAGTACACCTCAGCCTGTGACCCTGGTTTATGGTTGTTTCCCACTCACCCCACACATTATATGTAGTAGAGCAGAGCTCTCCTTCCACTGTCTGTCTGTTGTCTCCTAGCTCCTTTAAGTCTCAAGTCTGCACTTATAAGTGCCTTGGCGAGGTAGCAGGGATGGTTATAATCGTTTTTGTTTTGTTTTTCCCCAGACAGGGTTTCTCTGGGTAGTTTTGGAGCCTATCCTGGCACTCCCTCTGTAGACCAGGCTGGCCTGGAACTCACAGAGATCCACCTGCCTCTGCCTCCCGAGTGCTGGCATTAAAGGCGTGCGCCACCAACACCCGGAGGTTACAGTCATTTTTAGTCGTGTATGAAACTTGTAAAATTGGACAGAACAAGTTCTGTTTTCTTGGCTGCAGGATTTGATTTTGGAGGGTTTCTTGCCTATGTCACGAAAAACTTTCAAGCCAAATGACAGCAAATGCTCAGAATGGCCAATGTAAATGATGTTTGTCTGTTTTGTGCCCAAGAGCTCTGCAAGAGAGCTTATGGACAGGCTAGGGAAGCTGGTGGTAGAAGTTGCCTAGCAGGTACAAGGCCCTGGTTCAGCCCCAAAAAGCATGGAAAAAGAACTGGAAGGGACATCTGCTGTGATCAATCCTGGTGGCCTGCTTGACACAAGAAATTTGACTCCTGGCCCACCGAGTGACAGGCCCCTCCCAGAGTTTCTGGCTGAGTTAGTACCCAGCTCAGGTTGCTCAGTTAGTTTGTGGCTCAGAGCAAACACTTAGGGAGCCAGCTTGGGGAGCCAGCTGTGCCAAGCCCCAGTGTGTCCTGTGGAGAACTTGATAACATAGGGATGGTCTCCACCCTCTGTGACGAAGTGCAGTGTGCTCTTGTGTGTTCTGTTCTTCCCCTCACAGGACACTCTGCTTTTGTGTTGATCCATAGGAAGTATTTCTGTTGTAGGACTCAGCTCAAGATGTTTTTCTTTCCTATTTATTTCTCCCTCGTAAACACAAGAGCAGTAAAACTTGGGGATGATAAAAGAGAAAGACTGCAGGTGTGCAAGCTCACCACTTACTATACTTACTCTAATCCGGGTGATTACTATGGTTGTGGTTTGTTTTCAGTTGAAAAAACACAATCCTGAATTTCTTTTCGTTTTTGTTTTTCAAGATAAGTTTTTTTCTGTATAATAATAGCCTTGGCTGTCCTGAAACTTGCTTTGTAGACCAAGCTGGCCTCGAACTCAGAGATCCAGCTGCCTCTGCCTGCCAGGTGTTGGGATTAAAGGTGTGCGCCACCACTCTTGACTCTGAATTTCTTTATTATCATTTTCTCCAATTTTTTAAAATATGTTTTGGGTTCCCCTCCCTCCCTGAGATAGGTTTTCTCTGTGTAGCTTTGGAGCCTATCCTGGCTCTCGATCTGGAGACCAGGCTGGCCTCGAACTCACAGAGAACCAGCTGCCTCTGCCTCCCGAGTGCTGGGATTAAAGGCGTGTGCCACCAATGCCTGGCATATGTTTTGTTTTTTAAACTTTTAAATTTGTTTACTTATTTTTTGAGACCTTGATCTTTGAGTGCTGTGTTTGTATCAGTCCCCCCCCCACACACACACACACCCATTCATGGCCTATTTTATAATGACTGTTGTTACATGTATAGTGGGTTTTAGTTTTGAGGGGTATTTTGAGACACCATCTCACTGTAGTCCTGGCTGGCCTGGTCCTTGAGGTGGTTCTTCTGCCTTGGCCTCCCAGTTTTGGAATTACAGGTTTGTGCCAACATGCCTAGCTAAATGCACGCGTCAATTGCTTTGTAGCAGACATACTCAGAATATGCCATCCCTGTTTCCCTGACTGCTCAGAATGAAAGCTAAATTTCTTACTCTGTGAATCACCCATCCTTTACTTAAGCAGATTTCTGGGCATTCTACATAACAGGCTTTGTCATAAGCATCTGTGATAGGCATCTGGACAAAATCATTGCTCCACAGAAAAGACTAAGGAGCACAGCAAGATGAGCATGTTAGGTGAGGAGGAACTAACTATTGTGTTGTTAGGGATGGGCCCAGAGCATGCTTTACCTGTGGCTCTAGGGAAGAGTACTGAGGTTAATACTCGATCAGACACCTAAACAAAATCACAGGAGAAGGAATGGTCCTTGAGTAGAGAAAGAAACGGATGCCTGAGGGGAGGATGATGTGTGTCTGTCTCCTTGGGACAGCAGTAGGGTGAGCTCAGAGGTGACCGTCAGCCAAACCCTTTGGGGCTAGTAGGAGACAGGCAGGATGGGAATCAATGGGAGGGTCTTGAGCAGGGAACATGGTGGAGAGGAAAAGTGGTACCATGTTGCTTCTCCATCCTTTAACCCACTCCACCTTCCCTTGCAGATTGTCTACGCAGAAAGACCTCTCACAGACAACCACAGATCGCTGGCTTCCTACGGCTTGAAAGATGGGGATGTTGTGATTTTACGGCAGAAGGAGAATGCAGACCCTCGCCCTCCAGTTCAGTTCTCAAGTAAGCCCAATACACATGGCCTTTTAATTAACAAATGTCAGGCTAAGGGGCATAGACTGGCTGCCTGCTGCATAACCTTGGGCAGGTCGTTGGCTTTCTAGTCAGTCTCCTCTTTAGTAAGGTAGGTGTCATAATTAATCAAGAGATGAAACTCAGGCTTAATTGATGTCATCAGAGTCACATAGCTAGTAAGTAAAAAGTGTCTGAAATGGTACTTTTTCTGTTATTCCAAACTTGGCAGATTTAAATGGTTGGAGCACCAGGTTTTGGTCTCTCCCTGACATTGCTATTAGTCTTACTGTGCCAGAAAGGCACATTACAAAAGCTTAATGATGTATATGTATGAATATTTTGCCTCTTTGTATGTGTGCTGTGTGCATGCAGTTCCTGTGGAGGCCAGAAGAGGGTGTCAGATCTTCTGGAACTGGGGTTTTGTGTGTTTGTGGGGGGGGGGGGTTGTTCACATGAGTGCAAATGCCCACAGAGATGAGAGGTTTCAGAGCCCCTCTGCAACTGGAATTAAAGTTAGTTACAAACTACCGTACATGTGTGCTGGGAGCCATTAGAAATTACTCTTAACCACTAAGCTAATGTTCCAGATCCCCTGGCTTTTTGTTTTGTTTTAAAGACAGGGTTTCTAACCCAAAGTGGTCTGTATGACCCAAACTGACCTCCAGCCTCCTGAGGGCTAGAATTACAGGCATGCACCCACACATCCAGCCAGGCTAGGTGTTGGTCCTCTGGAGCCTGCATTTAGGTTTAGGAGGTTCCTGTGTCTTTGAAATATGCAGGACTGTGTGGGAGCGAGCACACATGTGCTTCATGCTCAGAGGGCCAATAGCTTCCTTTAGCTCCTCAGAGGGGCTCATGACTCAGAGTTTCCAAGTCCTGATGTAGAACTAACTGCGTGATGAAATGTGCCTTTTTTTTTTTTTTTTCCCCTGCTGCCTGCCATATTTTGATGAAATTCTTCAGGTATATATTTAGCCTCCAGGTCTCCTGCTTTAAAGTTTATGATAGTAGGTTGATAGGTGTGTTAGGTGACAATAGACTACAGTGTGGAGCACAGTACTTTGTTCAGACTATGAGACAAAGTCCCTTGGGCTTCTGCTTTAGGAAGAATAGCAGTTCGAGTTTACCAGTCAGTGAAAAACAGATCTTTCTTCAGGGACTTTGAGGTGGTTGGTACTAGAGAGTTGCTGTATTTTGTTTTGTTTTGGTTTGTATGTTTTTGTTTTTGTTTTTTTTCCTGCTGTTTCTATGTAGACAACATGGCAAGTAGGTTGCTGTGTGGGGAGGGTATATGTCCTTCAGAATTATGGCGTGAGTAGTGGACTGGCAAGATGGAATGGATGTTGAGGTGAGTCTCTCCAGCTGCAGAGGGCCCAGCCCTCCATGGTGTTAGAGACCACAGATCCTCAGGGAGCCTGTCCATCACTCGTCCTTCCATTGTTTAAATGTTTTGTCCTGTATGACCCTTCTCACCACACACACTGGCTGGCAACTGTCCTCTGTTTTAGACAGTGACTAGTTGACCCCACATATGAGGCTGAAACCTTATACAGGAGTGTAAGCTTTCCCTTTTTGTAGTTGATGTACAGAGGCTTCAGGATAGTCCCAGACTCAGGACAGGGTTTGCCATTAAGTAACCTTTAGGGTTGAATGTAATGTGGATTTTTTTTTCAAGGCCATTGTCTCATTTTGGCTCTAGTTTATTTTAGTTTGCCTCTCTTTTGGAGACGGGCTCTCCTCAAGTCCCCAGTCCTCTTGTTTCAGCCTCTAGCATGCTGGGATTGCAGGCATAAGCTACCATAGCTAGTGTCTTTCTTTTACTTTACAGATTTATTGAGATAAAATCCACTTACCATAGGATTCACCCATGTAGAGGATAAAATTCAGTGGCTGTGGATGTGCTCACACAGGGCTGTGCAGTTTTAGTCCCTGTTTAGTTCATTCATTATGTGAACCCCTAATAGCCATTCGCTGTTTCCCCTTTCTAGCTCTGTTTACTGTTCTGGGCATTTCATGGCAGTGGAGTCATACATTGTGTGGGATCCTGTGTGAAGACTGAAGCTCTAGAACAATCCAGAACCTGGAATGAAAAACTGTTCTTCAGTTCTTCGGTTCTGTGAAACAGTTATGCCCACCCACTGCCCAGGACCACATATGTCTGGGATGCACAGATGAAACTGTAAATTCAAAGAGGTAGAAAAACCTCCTCAGACTTACGCATCCAGTGCTTAGTTGTGCGGGAATTGACATGATGTGCATATGCTGTTCACTTGATACATACAGTTTTTTGGGTTTGGTTTTGTTTTTTTTTTTTTTACCCCAAGTGTCAGGACATGTCAGGACTTTTCAATAGGGGCTAGATAGATGGCTCAGTAGTTGAGAACAATGGCTGTTCTTCCCGAGGACCTGGTTTCAATCACAGGACCACCAGCCTATTCTACAGAGTGAGTGCCAGGAGAGGCTCCAAAGCAAACCCTGTTTTGAAAAACAAAAAGAATCATGTAGGGCCAGTAAGATGGGTCTCAGAGAGTAAGGGTGCTTCCTGTGCGAGCCTGGCAACCCGAGTTTGAATCCCAGAACCCACCATGCCCAGCTCTTCTAGCTTTTTTTGTCAGGGGAGGGGTTCCAGACAGGGTTTCTCTGTGGTTTTGGAGGCTGTCCTGGAACATATATATATATATATATATATATATGTATGTATGTATGTATGTATGTATGTATGTATGTTATCTGTGTGAAGGTGGCAGAAAATAACTGATTAAGTGTGCTGGTTTGAATACAAATGGCCACCATAGGCTCATATTGGAATGCTTAGCAAGGGAGTAGAATTATTTGAAAGGATTAGGAGTTGTGACCTTTTGGAGGAAGCCCATGATAAGCCCAGAGCTCCTCCTCTGTGCTTATGGATCAAGATGTAGCTCTCAACTACTGCTCCAACGTGCCACATGCTGGCTGACATGATAATGAACTAAACCTCTGATGGTATAAAGCAAGCCTACAATAACTTTTCTTTTGTAAGAGTTCTCATGGTCAGTAGGGCGTTGGTGGCGCATGCCTTTAATCCCAGCACTCGGGAGGCAGAGGCAGCTGGGTCTCTGTGAATTCAAGGCCAGCCTGGTCTCCAGAGCGAGTGCCAGGATAGGTTCCAAAGCTACACAGAAAAACCCTGTCTCGAAAAGAGAGAGAGAGAGAGAGAGAGAGAGACAGAGAGACAGAGAGACAGAGAGAGAGAGAGAGAGAGAGAATTCTCATGGTCATAGTGTCTCTTCACAGCAATAGAACAGTGACTAAGACAACAGGTGTGCATTGAGACACATGCCCACACATACATCATGTCTACCCAGTAATGGCAAATAAATTTTTTAATTGAATTATTTTTTGAGACAGGGTTTCTTTATATGGCCCTCGCTGTCCTAGGATTCGATATATAGGCCAGGCTTGCCCCAGACTCACCAAGATAAACTTACCTCTGCTTCCTGAGTGCTGGGATTAAAAGCCTGCACCACTATGGGTAGCTCAATAAAATTGTTTTGCAAGAGCCATATCTCGAATTAGGCAATTAAAGTTACTTAGACAGGTATAATTTGTTTGTTTGCTCGAGACAGAGTCTCATATATCCCCAAGGTGGCCAAAAATTTACCTTGAACTTGTAGCCCTCTCACTGACCTCCTGAGAACCTGGGTTACAGATGCACAGCACACATAGTTTATGTTGTGCTGGGAGCAGACCGGGGCTTTGGCTTTGGCTTTGGCTGGGCAGCTGTTCTGTCAGCTACACCACATCTCAGCTCTAAAGCATAAGTAAGGGGCCAGAGAGATGGCTCAGTGGGTAAGGTGTCCTTGCTGCCAGGCCTGACCACCTGAGTTTGACACAAAAGCTCACATGGTTCGAGGAAAAAAACTCTTAGAAGTTGCCCTCTGACTTCACATCCTATTCCCTCCCCCAATACAAATTGAATAAATGTAATTTAAATTTTTTTCTTTTTTTTATTTTGGAGACAGTGTCTTAACTATAGAGCCTTGGTTAACGTGGAGCTAAGTTTTTAGGCCAGGCTGGCCTGGAATTCAACTACTGGGGTTAAAGACATGCATCACTACATCCAGCTAAAATTTTTAAATAAAACCTTTATTTGTTCTGGAACATTTTAAAGACTCCAAATTTGGAATTATTACCATTGTTGCCTGATACTGAATTCTTTTTTTTTAATTGATTATTTATTTGTTTGTTTGTTTATTTATTTTGGCTTTTCAAGACAGGGTCTCTATGTAGCCCTGGCTGTCGTAGAACTCACTCTGTAGACCAGACTGGCCTCAAATTCACAGAGATCCACCAGCCCCTGCCTCCCGAGTGCTAGGATTAAAGGCATACGCCACCATGCCGGTTCTTTTAGTTTTTTAAGAATAATAAAAAGATTTATGTGTATGAATGTTTTGCCTGCATACATGTATGTACGCCATGTGTGTGCCTGACCTCCCGGAGGTCAAGGGAGGATATGGGGCACTCCCGGGTCATCTTGAGCCATCTTGTCGGTGCTGGTAACTGAACCCTGGTCCTCTGCAAGAACAGCCAGTGTCTTAACCTCTGAGCTGTCTCTCCAGTGAGCCCTTCCCCTCTCATATTCTTTCCTATTTATTTACTCTTGGAGGATGAACAAGAGGAAAGACAGAGTGTTTACAGTTACCACTTGCTGCTGTTCTCTGTGACGAATGACTGTTTTGTTGTTTCCTTCAACACTTGTTTTTATGGTGTGCAGCATTTGGGTAAACTTGATTAATTGATCTCAACAGGCTTACCCCGGATTGACTTCAGTAGCATAGCTGTGCCTGGCACATCAAACCCCCAACAGCGCCAGCTGCCCAGAGCACAGTCTCAGCACTCATCTCCTGGGGAAATAGCAGCATCTCCTCAAGGCTTAGACAACCCAGCCCTGCTCCGAGACATGCTGCTGGCCAACCCGCATGAGCTGTCCTTGCTGAAGGAGCGTAACCCACCCTTGGCAGAAGCTCTGCTCAGTGGAGATCTCGGTAAGCTCACTTGTGTGTCAGTAGTTGTGCCAGAACAGATGTTCAAGACCCAGGCAACTGTTTCAGTCCATTGGCTGGCTGTCTTCTCTGATTCTTGAACAGGCGACTTGTTGATGAGAGGTGAATTAATGTAATCTCAAAGACTGGGTTAATTGGCAATAATGTTCGTATTTATTGAAATCATCTTGATCCTTGGGTTGGCCTCTTCATCCACCTGGGCCTCTGCCTCCAGAGTACTGTGATTAAAGACAAGTGCTACTACACCCAGCTTCTTTTTACATTTTTTAAATTTTGGCCAGGTGTATACTTTCAATCCCAGCACTCTGGAGGCAGAGGCAGGTGGATATTTGTGAGTTCAAGGCCAGCCTGGTGTACAGAACTAGCTCCAGGACAGCGAGGGCTTACACGAAAAGCCCTGAATTGGGGTGGGGAGGTTAAATTTTGTTTGTGTACCTCCATATGCAGCCACAGCTGGCATTTGGGGGTCAAGGACAACCTTGGTTGTCAGTCCTCATCTTCTGCCTTGTTTTTGAGAGTAGGGCCTCTGCTGTCTGTCACAGCGCTGTGTGCAGCAGGCTAGCTGGTTTATGAGCTTCTGGGGAGTCTCTCGCCATAGAAGCTGGCAGGTGGATGTGTGCACCGGCTTTCACATGGGCTATGGGGGTATGAACTCAGGTTTCATCTTGTATAGTAGGCTTCGCAGCCCACACCATAGCCATAGTAGGAAACAGCTCCCAAGAGCTGGTTCTCTCTTGCCCTCTTTAGGGAGCCAGGGATTGAATTCAGATAATCAGACTGATTCACAAGCGCCTTTACCTCCTGAGCTTTGGCATTAAATGCATGTGCCACCATACCCAGCTTGTTGTTTGCTCTTTTTAAGTGGGGTTGCATGTATAGACCATGGGGCAACCTCAAGAATGCCATCCACCTCCTGTGTGGGAGGGTCAGTTTCTCCCTGGTTTTCAGCAGTTAGGCGAGGCTGGCTGACAAGCAGGCCACAAGGAGCCTCTTGTCTCTGCTTCCCAGCCACTTGAATACCAATATACGTCACCATTTCTAGCAGTTTTATGTGGGTTTTGGGTTTCAAACTTAGGTCCTTGTGCTTGCAAGTTAAGTACATTACTCACTGAAGCCATCTCTTAGCTAGAAAGTTCCATTGTGTTCCATCTATTCGGTTTCCTCTTGAATTGGCTAGCACTGTTGTGATAATCATTGCTTTGTTTTGCCTATTTTCAAACTTTATATATTTGGAACCATAGAGTACACTCTTTGGTGTTGAGGTTTCCTCTTGTTTTATTCAATCATTTGTTTATTTTGGTTTTTCAAGGCAGGATTTCACTGTGTAGCTGTGACTGTCCTGGAGCTTGTTCTACAGACCAGGCTGGCCTGAAACTCAGATCAGCCTGCATCTGCTCTCTGAGTGTTGGGATGAAATCATGCACCACCACTGCTAGGCTGAAATAGAAACATTTTTAAAATAATGATTCCCAAGCCAGGCGTTGGTGGTGCATGCCTTTAATCCCAGCACTCGGGAGGCAGAGGCAGGCAGATCTCTGTGAGTTTGAGGCCAGCCTGGTCTCCAGAGCAAGTGCCAGGATAGGCTCCAAAGCTCCATAGAGAAATCCCGTCTCGAAAAACCGAAATAATAATTAATAATAATTATAATAATATTATTATTATAGTAATAGTAATACTATAGTAATAGTAATTATTATTATTATTGCCAGCATTGGGAAGGCAGAAGCAGGTAGATCTCTGAGTTTGAGGCCAGTCTAGTCTACAGAGTGAGTTCCAGGACATCCAGGGCTACACAGAGAAACCTTGTCTGTAAAAACCAAAAGAAAGAAAGAAAATGTAGAGCTGACTATGTCATCCTTTGTTTTTGTAGAGAGATTCTCTCGGGTCCTGGTAGAGCAGCAACAGGACCGAGCTCGAAGAGAACAAGAAAGAATTCGTCTATTTTCTGCTGACCCCTTTGATCTGGAAGCTCAGGCAAAGATAGAAGAAGATATAAGGTAAGCTCCATCTACCTAATGAGCAAGCTCACTTGCGTCCAGGTCATCAGGCATTAAGTAGTCGTCTGCTTGCAGGCAGCTTCCCTGTCTCCATCTAGGTTGAGAATATAACCTCAGTCTGCTTACGTAACTCTCTCCTTCATTGTCCTCACTTTTTGATCCAGTATTTGGAAAATACTTAATGACTCTCTGCTCTCAAATTTGTGAGCACTTCCTGATTAGCAGACAGAACAGCACCGTCATGCTAGGTAGGTGACCCCAGGACAAAAACTGAGGAGAAACCCTGTCTGCTGAGGTTCATAGATTGCCTATGAAGGGGAATTTCAGTCCTGATTAAATCAGATCTTGGAGGTGATTGGATTAGAGAGCTCGGCACAAGTGGAGTCTTGTCAGTTCCCTGTCTTCTTCCTGCTGTGCTTCCCTGGCTCTCTGCTGGGGCTGTCGTAGCGCATGCAGGAAGCTTTCCAAGCAGCAGGTGCTTCAACCTTCTTTGAGTCAGCGTCTTCAAGAGTGGAGCCCAAACAAGTACAGAGATGAGCTAATGACAGTGCTGACCACATTGCCAGTCACAGGCAAGATACTGTCTGAATAAAATGGCCACCTGCTCCCCAAACCCACGAGGAGCAATCTAACGATGTTCCTGTTACCCTAAGTAGGGTCGGGGCTATAGTTACCTTAGTTGCTTGCTTTACTAATCACTTAGAGGCTCTCCCCACCCTTAGGCCTATGCTGGGGACCTCATGCATTCGTACCCCCTTGACTAGCCCTTTATTACCAGTCCGCATCTCTGACACTGTGACTAAACTCGAAATGAAAGAAACACAGATCAATTCCAGAACTAATTGAAAGCCCTAAGCTATTTGTCCCTGTTCTGTTGGCTAAGTGTTCTCATTAATTGTATCAGGTGTTGATTTTTTTCCCCTCCTCTTACACAGTTAGGCATGTGTTCTGCCAGTGAGTCACATCCTCAGCTCTGCTTTTACCTTTTATTTTAAGACAGGATCTCACTAAATTGGCAAGCTGGCCTTGAATTTAATGTCCTGCCTCAGCCTCCCCACTAATTGGGACTGTAGGCCTCTGCAGTCACGCTTTAATCAGATATTAGTGAGGGCCTATGGCCATAGCTTAACTAGCTGAGTCTGCCCAGAGAAGTAAACCATTTGTGTTCTTACTAGGTTACCTTGCTGTAAGGAAGTCTGACATTGATTTCAAGCATAGTTGTGTTCATCCTGGGAAGCGGGTGGGGAGGCATCACAGACAAACCCTGGAAGTGGAGTATAGCAAATCCAAAAAGGCTGTTTCCTACGGGGCGGGATAAAGGAAGCTGGGCCAAGTGAGGAAAGCAGATTACCAGATTCCCAGACCACCCATACTGCCCTGACACTCCTGTGCATCTGGGGCTGCCCTGAAGCTCTTTGTGTTTGTCTGCTTGTTTGGTTTTGGTTGTTTGGTTCATTGAGTTTTGTTGTTTTGAGACAAGGTCTTACTGTGTAGCCCTGGTTAGCCTTGAACTCAGAGATCTCCCTGCCTCTATGTGCCACCATGTGTAGTAAATATTTGTCTTAATTTTAGTGGTGTGTGTGTCCATGTATGCACCACATGAGTGTAATGAGCCTGTTGGCTCACCAGCAGCTGTGGATAATGGGAACTGAACTCAGGTCCTTTGGAAAAACAGTAAGCCCTCTTGATCACCAAGTTATCTCTCCAGCCCAAGAAATGTCAAATCTACCTAAGAGTTAGAGCATTTTTATTATAATGACTGTTGGTGTGGATATGCATGCAGTAATACGTGGGGGGGGGTCAGAAGACAACTTGCACCATGGGTTATAGAGATCAAACTTAAGTTGTCAGATGGGTGACAAGCACCGTGCTTCCTGAGTTGTCTTGATGGCCCCACATCCTTTGAAGGAAACTTTGCACTTCTGAAACCCCTCTACTGAGACCTTCAGAGCCATAGAAAATTGGTATTACCTCAAAGGATTTATTTTCTGGTCATTGTTTTTGGAGAGAGGGAGGGCTTTTTCTCAGTTGCATCGCTCTTTGAGGGCATTTTCTCTTACTGAAATGAGCCCACAGATTGGGATAGCTTGTTGGCTGGCCAGTGAGCTCCAGGGACCCCCTTTTCTCTACCCCTGCAGCTCTGAGATTGCATGCAGCTCTGAGATTGCATACAATTAGATGCTCCAAGGCCCTTCATGCTTGAATAATGGTAAACACGTCACCGACTGAGCCATCTCCCTAGCCCCACTTGTTCCTTTTCTTTTTTCCTGAAATTTAACTTGTGTTAGAGCAAGATCAGGGGTACATACAACATGATTAGTTGTATGTTATTTATGAATTTAATAATGTGCCATTGGATAAAGGTGTATAATTATATCAAATGTGGCTTAAATTTCTGCTTGACACACAACACCATTGTACATGGGCATGTGTACACCAAGGTGTGGTAGTAGCTTCCCTGTTTGCCTGGACTTTCCGAAAAGTGTAACAGTATATTGCAAATCTGATGGTTAACCATCAATTCGGTGAACCGGAGCATGAAGGGAAGCTCAGGCAATGGCGTTCAGAGCAAGGGTCAGCAGACTTCCAGTAAAGGCTAGGTAGTAAATCTTATAGGCTTTGCAGGCCATGTGATCTATTTTCCTTTTCGGCTGTGTCTGCCATGTGAAGCAGCAGTGGCTGTGGAACAGCATGTCACTTGCTGTGACAAGCAACTTAAGGCAAGGAGAGTTTATTATTTATTCTGTCTAGGCTGTAGTCTATGATGGTGGGGACGGCATGGCAACAGGAGCGTGTCTCCTTTCTTTATTCAGTCTTGGACACCAGCCTGTGAAATGGTGGTGCCCACGTTCAAGGATGCTCTTCCCTCCTCAGTTAACCCTTCTTAGAAGCACCCTCACTGAAAATCCAGACTGGTATTTCTATGGTGATTTTTAAATCCAGTCTAGCTGATAAACAAGGTTAACCGTCACATGGTATGTAGACAGTGTCTCCGTGTTCCCATAACACGTGTGCACAGGTATTGGGATGTGGTTTTAGCAGTCCTTAGTTCACAATGAACTTTACCCCAAATTGCAGGCTGAGTTCCATATTCCCAGTCTAAAGGTAAGCTGTCTAGCCTGTGTGTTTAAAGACAGGGTCTCATATATCTCAGATTGGCCTTAAATGTAGCCAAGGGTGACCCTAAAGTTCTGACCCTCCTGCCTTCACTTCCCAGGGGCTGGGATTACATGTGTGCACCACTACAGCTGCTTTTTATGATTCTGGGAGCCCTGCTTTCATGCATGTTAGGCAAGGACTCATCCAACTAGGCCACACCCCCAGATAGATGGAATTTTTCAAGTTCTGCTCTTGCCTTAGCACCATAAGCTAAATTCTTTTTTTTTTTAAAGATTTTATTTATTATGTATACAACATTCTGCTTCCATATCTGAATTGAACTCAGGACCCCTGGAAGAGCAGTCGACGCTCTTAACCTCTGAGCCATCTCTCCAGCCCATAAGCTAAATTCTTGAGGCTGCTTTGATGGGAGGGAATTGTGTTTTCATTTTTCAGTTTCATAAAGCCAGTTGTGGATATGGAGCAGCCTGCACAGCACAGACAGGTGGAATTCACATGATTCTGTTTGGAGACTTACTGCTGCCCTGGGATGATACTCAGATTTCCAGGACATCCTCAGTTAAAATAGGAGTGCCGGGCTGGCATGTTGATACATTCCTTTAATCCCAGTACTTAGAAGGCAGAGGCAGAATCTCATGAATTTGACGCTAGCAAGTTGCAGGGCAACCAGGGCTACACAGAGAAACCCTCCTTCAAAAACTTCAAAATCAAAACAACAGCAACTGTACACACACACACACACACACACACACACACACACACACGAAGGAGCATTTTTACAGGTTCTGGTGGCACTCATTATAATCCCAACACTGGAGAGGCTAAGATGAGAGGATCATAAGTTCAAGTCCAGCCTGGGCTATGTAGTAAGACCCTGTCTCAAGTAGTAGTCATCAAATTTCAATGTTTGGTAAGATACAAAGGACTGTGGCCTTGCTTTCTAGGAGTTTATTTTTCCATTCTGAGCCTTTAAAGGGATTGTGATTGTTTTGCATGAGAATAATTTTTATGCCTGTCTTAGGTCTTCTGTCAACTGTGTCTCTCATCACCTCCTGTTGAGTCACCTTTTAGGGACACATTACCAATTTCCATTCTGTGACTCAGCTGCTCCAGTTAGGGCAAAAACCTTTTACAAACATGTTTGGAAACAGAGCTTTCAGTGTGCTGCTCTGGCTTGTCACAGGCAGCAGAACATCGAGGAGAACATGACGATAGCTATGGAGGAGGCCCCGGAGAGCTTCGGCCAGGTCGCCATGCTCTACATCAACTGCAGAGTGAACGGGCACCCTGTGAAAGCCTTCGTTGACTCAGGTGACTGGGGAGGGGGAGGCTCTGGTGTCTCTAGACACTGGCTCTGTGCTTTGCTTGCTGATGCCTGGAAGTGACATCTTCACTTTTCAGTCTTTGTATTGGTGGTAGATTTCCTTTCCTAGTCCTTTCTTACCTGATTTTGTGTTTGAAGTGCCTTGACTGCGTGGGTGTTTACAGGTTCTTGGCCACTGAAAATAGAAGTTCCCACAGAGGGAGACACAGTCGAGATTGGCTGGGGGTGGGGTAGGAATTGGATCAGCAGTGAGTTAGTACTGCTCTTGCAGCGGGTGTGGGTTGAGTTCCAAGCACCTACATCTAACAGCTCACAGATACCTGTAACTCCTGGCGATATGGGCAACTATACTCACATTGCACTCCCCCCCCTTACACATACACACATACATGTAATTTTTTTAAATTATTTATTTGTATTTTATGTACATTAGTGTTTTGCCCAATTGTATGTCTGTGTGAGGTTACAGACAGTTGTGAGCTGCCATGTCGGTGCTGGGAATTGAACCAGGGTCCTCTGGAAGAGCAGCCATTGCTCTTAACCCCTGAGCCATCTCTCCAGCCCCATACATGTAATTAAAAATAAAATAAAATCATTAAAAAAAGGTTGACATGGGGCCAAATGAGTAACAATCGGCATTCTAGGCCCCAGTTATTGTTCAGAGCTGCTTTTTATGGGGCTCAAGAGAAGGAAGGGTTCTTGAGGTTTAAGGGATGGCTTGAGTGTTTCTCCTATTTGATGGATAAATTAGGTCATAAGTTCATTTTTCTTATTGCATCAGATTTTAATTATATGTATGCCCAGTTATACATAGGCGTAAGATTGTCAATAGGGGATTCTCTGTAATAGGTTACAAGATGGCACTGGTTTCCTTTATGGTGCATGCACCCTAAACTGCTTCAGGATGGATTGGCCCTTCTGTTGTTCAACCCCAGATACATTGGGGCTACACTTGACTAAAAACTGTTTAAATTTGGTAGTTACCAGGAATGAAAAAACATAGACCTTTGTTCAGAGATGATTGTATACCTGGCCTGGAATGCGTGGGGGCTCAAGGGGTCCTGAAGTTGCTAAGTGCATTGTTTGGAAAGGGACGTAGGGTACACAGTATGTTCTCATGAAGAACCAGGCTGCCAGGTGGCGTGTTACAAGCGGGGCATGTGCAAAACCCAATGGGGTCCCAAGCTAAGCTCCCCTGTGCTTGCCTGCCTCCTTAGTTCCTCATTTAGTGTTCTGAGATTCTTGATTTGGAAGCAATAGGTCTATAAGGTGCTGTGAAGGGCATGTGTGTGTGTCTGTGGTAAGTTTCCTTGTTGCTCTGACAAGAGTGGCCTGTGAACGGTGTAATGACTTATTTTGGCTCAGTTTCAGAAAATTTGGTTTGTGGGAGCATTTTTGTGGGGAAGAGAGAAGTGAGCCTTACAGGAGAGCGCAGGAAGAATGTCTGTATTGCACTAGGTCTTTCTCTTTTCCCTTCTGTTCAGTGTGGGAGGCCTTCCGCCCACCTTCCCCGCTCAGTTAGAAGTGCTTGTCTCAGATCCCCACTGGTTTCTAAGTCTAGGCAAGCTGACAGTGAAGATTAGTGATCACAGATGTTTCTGTCTGCTCGCTGTGTAGCCATTGCTTGAAGCAAGTCAAGGAAGGCTCCATGAGGCATGGTCCCTGCCCTTAAGAACTTAACAGCTAGGGCTGGAGAGGTGGCTCAGAGGTGAAGAGCACTGGCTGCTCTTCCAGCACCCACATGGTGTCTCCATACCACCTGTAACTCATTTCCAGACAGCCTCTTCCGACTGCCACAGGCTTCAATGTGGCACACTCACATACGTGGAGGCAAAATTGAGACACAAAATAAATTTTAAAAAAAGAAAGAAAGAAAAGCTGGAGGGATGGCTTAGTTAAAAGCACTTGCTGCTCTTTCAAGGGACCCAGATTCAATTCATAGCACCCACATGGTGGCTCACAACGGTCTATAACTCTAGTCTCGGGGGATTTGATACCCTCTTCTTGCCTCAGTGAGCACTAAGCTCACATGTGCTGCACAGATAATGCAGGCAAAACACATAAAATTAAAAGAAGAGGACAGGCAAGGAAATGGAGTTTGCTACTTGAGCTTTAGGTGATCCGGGTGCTAACTGACACCTGTTGTTCTCAGTAACTCTGTTTTTGTTCAGACTTTTTTTCTAATGACATTTTGTTTTTTATGTTTTGCCTACAAGTATATCTGTACTCACAGAGGTCAGAAGAGGGTGTCAGATCCTCTGGAACTGGAGTTATAGGTGGTGGTGAGCCACCACGTGGGTGCTGAGAATTCCGCCCCTGTTCTCCGAAAGAGCAACAAATGCTGTAAACTTCTGAGCCTTGTCTCCAGCCCCAGCTCTGCTTTTTTAATCTGTCGCTGAGTGGTCGGTCCTACTCATCTTCATTCTGGGCATGTCTTGAGGTTGTGAGACAGCCTGGGTTGCTGGAGCAGCAAACGCTGTCACCAGTGACATCTCCCTGTGGCACATCCGCATACTCTAGCACATACTGAGTTTGTGTCTTGAGACTGTGAAGTCCCAGAAGTAAATGTACTGTTGAGTCTGTTTAGACAGTGCTAGAGATGGATGTCTCAGTGGTCAAGAACACTTGATGCTTAAAAAGATGTTGGCCTGACAGTGGCAGTACAGGCCTTTAGTCCCAGCACGGCAGAGGCAGAGGCAGAGGCAGGTGTATCTCTGTGTTCCAGGACAGCCTGGGCTACACAGAGAGACCCTGCCTGGACAAACCAAATAAATAAAAATATGCTCATTAGTGCTGTGTGAAGTACACTGGGCTAAGTGGTGAGGCTTCCTGTGAGAGAGACAAGAGCATAGCTCCTCTGTGCACATCAACCCAGGCTCTGTGCTGGGTGCCTAGTGCATCTTGCTGCCTCTGTCATTGTATTCCAACCTCAGGCAGCCCTGTGAGCCATGGTGTGTTCCTGCTCTACAGAAACGGACATGAAGGCCTGGAGAAGACAAGGCCGTGTCCCAGGTAGCCTCACTGAGCAAGGCAGATGTATAGTGGGTGGGTGTGGTAGATGTAGAGACTATCTTTCCCTTACTGGAGTGCATGGGTACACTGCTCGATCCACAGGCCAGGCCATGGGGCTGGGAACTAAGTCAGCTTGTTCCATATTCGTTCATGGAGACGAGGAGGGCAGAATTGCCTTCCAGATTTCCTAGGCTCTGTCTGGCCTTTTGAATCTTAATTTTCTTATGGGAATTTTTACCATTGTTTGTGTTTTTGTGGTGGTCAGGGTGGAACCCAGGGCCTTCCCTGCTAAGCAAACACTGCTAAGCAAACACTGTCACCACTGTGGATATCTCAGTCACTACTCTCCCCATTCTCATGCCTAAGATCTGCTAGTACCCACACAGAATGGCTGCTTAATGCCCACCCGTGCACACACATATAAATAAAAAGAATTTTTTTTTTTTTAAGTGTGTGCCACCATGCCCAACTTCTTTCTAAAATGGTTCTGAGCTCAAACCTAGGTCTTTGTCCATGTTAGGCAAGTGCTCGACCACTGAGCTGTGCTCCTAGCTTCAGGCTGTATTTTTTAAATTGTGAACAATAGTGTCCTAACACTTTAAATACAAATCACTTGAATCTGTGATCCCAGGAGGCTGAGTCAGGAGGATTACATGTTCAAGTCTAATTTTGAACTACACAAGGAGTGAGACCCTAACTGAGTGCTGCTTAACGTCACACTGCTGTCTGTGGACACAGTAACATTTGAATTCTAGAAGGTCGCTTCTAGATGCGCTTGTTTTCTCTTGGTAAAATATCACTTGGGTATTCCATTAAAATCCTACTCTTTCTCTCAGATTTCTGTACCGTTTTACATCCCAGTGTGGAATTGGAGATTGAATTAAGCAGGGGTGTTGGTGCATGTCTGCAACCCGAAACATGGGGCAGAGGCAGGGGGAACGTCAGGCATTTTCAAAAAGAAAGAAAAGGGCTGTGGATAGGGTGATGTTACAGAGACAGAAGTCTTGCCACAGAGGTGGGTTATATTTTATACAGTTTGCTATTTCTCTCTCCGTCCAGGTGCCCAGATGACTATTATGAGCCAGGCTTGTGCAGAAAGGTGTAACATCATGAGGCTGGTAGACCGTCGGTGGGCTGGCATAGCCAAGGGCGTGGGCACCCAGAAGATCATTGGAAGAGTGCATCTAGGTGAGTGAGGCAGGCAGGTTGCTGCTTTTTTGTAAGTGGGTGAGTTTAAAGTTTATTCTTTCTTAATTACCTCTGGTTGACGGTGCCGTGCACATACAAGCAAGCAGGTGTGTGTCTGTGGGTACACCCGAGTGTGGTTTCTTTCCCTCTATCCTGATTAGATCAGGAGTCATTTAATCTCCCCGTGATCAGTGCTGCTGGGGATGCTGAAAGCTCTTGGGATGTGTGGCCCTCTGTTCTTTCAGCTTCCCTAAGGGTATTTCCATGTACTTGGGTTGGTCTCTTCATTACTTTTTGGTTTTTCTAGACAGGGTCTTTCTATAGCTTTGGGGGCTGGCCTGGAACTCACTCTGTAGACCAGGCTGGCCTTGAACTCACAGAGATCCACCTGCCTCTGCCTCCCGAGTGCTGGGATTAAAGGCATGCGCCACCACGGCCCATCGATCTCTTCATTTCTTGTACTAAAGTGTTAGTGGCTTTTTTAGTCTGCAAATGCATCCTTCAGTTCCATGATGGAACTCAGTGCCTTAGCACATGGTAAGCACTCTCCACAGCCAGGTGTTGTGATGGCACCTATCTATAGGCTCAGTACTGGGTACACAGACCAGCTGATCTTGGGGGCTGGTAAACCATCCAACCCTGCCAAAATGGTGAGTCCCTTGTTCGGTGAGACCCTATTTCAAAAACCGCAGTGGAGAGCAATAGAACGAAAAGGTACTTCGCATCAAACTCTAGTCTCCACCTAGGTGTTCACACCTGCACCTACACCACATGTGCTTAGAGCAGAATGTCTCAGTTGGTATCACATACACCTGTAAACTAAGCATGTGGCAGGTAGAGACTGGACAATTAGGAGTTCAAAACCAGCCTGGACTACATGAGACCCTAATGCAAAAAAACAAGGGAAAGATTAAGATTTGGATTTTTTTTTTTTTTTTATCTTTTTTTGGGGGGGGGCACAGACGCAGGGTCTCTCTGTAGCCCTGGCTAACCCATTAACTTATTGTTTAAATCGGGCTCGCTTTGAACTCACAGATTGAACTCTGGATTATTGAAGGTGAGCTTTACCGTGCCCAGCAAGATTAAAAAGTTTGCTTTGAGAGCTGGGCATGGTAGTGCATGCCGTACTAATCTCAGCATTCAGGAAGCAGAGGCAGACAGGTCCTTAAATTCCAGGCCAGGCTCTTTCCCCCTCTCTTTCCTTCTGTTCCCCTGGGGAAGACAGGACTTTTCCTGTCTCCCTCTTCTCATATATGTCTCTTTCCTTCGCCTTCCCTCCCTTTCTAATAAAACTTTTCACTTAAAAAAAAAAAAAAAAAATTCCAGGCCAGCCTGGTCTACAGAGCAGGTTCCAGGACAGCTGAGGCCACATAGAGAAACCTTATGTGTGTATATGGATTCGGGGGTGCCTTGAGCATGTGTAGTGTTGTACACATATAGTTCCAGCACTTGAAAAGACATAATGACAAAATAGACAGTAATGCTAGCTAGAAATATGTATAATAGAATCTAAAGGTCTAAGAAATGCCTAAAATGATGAACATAGAACTAAGTTGGGAGAGTTAGAGGAGACAGGTGAGGGGAATGTAGGAGGCATAATACTTTGGTTTTCTTTTAAGATTTATTTTTCTTTTTGTGTATATGTCTAGGTAAGTGTATGCCATTTTGTGTGCAGAGGCTAACTGGAGTTACAGGCAGTTGTGAACTGTCAGCATGGGTCCTGAGAACTTAACTCCGGTCCTTTGGAAGAGTAGTAAGCACTCTTAACCACTGAGGCAGCCTCACACTTTGGTTTTCTATTTCTTCATCTGGAAACTAAATTCATGGTTGTTCACTATGCTTATATTAGACACATCTCACATGCTCTTTGGCTTGCTACTTAATAGTAGCAAAGTAATTTAATGTTTTTAATTTTTTGTTTACGGGTTTTTGCATTTACTTCTGCACCACATGTGTGCCTGGTGCCTGTGGAAGCCAGAGAGGGCCTAGTATCTCTAGCACTGGAGTTACTGGAGATTTTGAGCTGCTCTGTTGGTGCTGGGAATTCAACCTGGGTCCTCTGCAAAAGCAGTTAATATTCTTAATTGCTGAGCCATCCCTCCATCCCCTAGTAAAAAATTTTGTTTCATGTGCATTGGTGTTTTGCCTTCATATATGTCTGTATGAGGCTGTCAGACCTCCTGGAACAGGAGTTACAGACCGTTGTATCTGTAATATCAGTGCTGAGAATTGAACCCAGATCCTCTGAAAGAGCAGCCAGTGCTCTTAACTGCTGAGCCATTTCTCCAGCCCCCTAATAAAAATAAATTTTAACCTGAGAAGTAGGAGATTGCAAGCAAAGCCAGACCTTACTTGTGTCTCTGATTTGAAAAGAAACTTGGTCCTACCAGGCAATAAGAAGCCTTTTCCTGGGTGCAGGTTTACTTTAAAGGTTGGAAATATGCTGGTTCTATGCTTTTAGGAAACATTTGTGCAAAACGTGTCCTTAGCAACCCATGTACACGGGTATACCCACAAACACCTGATAGACCTTTTGTGAGTATATAGAAAGCCGTTGGTTAGTAGCAGAGAACTGACTGCACTATTAGCGTTTTTGTGTTGTTTTTTGACCCTCTTAACTCTTGCCCTCTTCACCTCTTCACGGGTCCTAAGGGCAGTGGTTCATTGTTGTGCTTTCTTGACTTGACTGAGTCCAGGAAGCCCAGGCACAGAAGGATGGGTCCCTCCACAGCTCAGCCTGGACTTGTGATGCCAAAATCAATAATGTCTTCTCTTCTTGTGCTTTAGCTCAGGTTCAGATTGAAGGTGATTTCCTGGCATGTTCCTTCTCAATACTCGAAGAACAGCCTATGGACATGCTTCTAGGACTGGACATGCTCAAACGGCATCAGGTAACTAAGAGCTTTGGTTTGTGTGTGTTCATACATGGACACACTGAAGTGCATGGAGGCTAGAGGTTGACAACAGATGCTGTCCTTGATCTGTCTCACCTTACTTGTTTTAGATAATGTCTCACTGAACGCACAGCTCACTGATTTGGCTAGATTGGTAAGGCAGCAGCCCCAGGGATCCTCCTGTGTCCACACCGGCGCTGAGGTTATGGATGTGTACTGTTACAGACAGCCGCTTTTTACATGGGCTTGGGGTTTGTTGTGCAGCCCTGATGTGCTTGGAGCTCACCGTGTAAAGCAAGCTGTCTCTGCTCCTGAGGTTATAGGCGTGCACCGTCAGGCCCGAGTGCTCTGCTCTTCAGTTCTGCTAGGTGCACATACTGACAAAGCATGGTTTTCAAATATGGGAATGTCCTTGGTAGATTCTGTTGTACAGAGTTAAAGTGGCTGTCATTACAGATGGAGTGTGTCGGGTTGGGTGTGGTGGTGCACACCTTTGATCCTAGCACTTCAATCCTAGAAGCAGAACAGAGTGGTGGCCGTGTCTCTATCTGTGAGGCCAGAGCTATATAGTGAGACCCTGTCTCAAAACAAGAGCACAGATCTCTCCTTATAAACCTCTTTGTCTGTTTTGACATTATAATTATTGCTTTTATTTATTTATTTTTAAACTAAACATTTTTAAACTTATTTTATGGTTTTGTTTACATGAATGTGTGCACCAACCACATGCGTGCCTGGTACACTTAAAAGTAAGAAGACAAAAAAAAAAAAAAAAAAAAAAAAAAAAACACAAGGGGGGGGGGCTGGCCTGGAACTCACAGAGATCCTCCTGCCTCTGCCTCCTGAGTGCTGGGATTAAAGAAAGGTGTGCGCCACCACCACCCAGCTCTGAAGATAGATGGTTTTCCTCACATGACATATCCTGCTTATGGGTTCCCCTTCCTCTTCTCCTCCCAGTTCCTCCCTGCCCCCTCCCTCCAATCCTACCTTTGTGTCTCATTAGAAAACAAAGAGGCTTCTAAAGGATTATGATATGATATGATAAAACCAACACATCAGAAGGGAAAGAGCCTAAGAGAAGGCACAAGAAACAGACCCACTTATTCTTATACTCAGGGATCCCATAAAAACACTGCACTAGAAGCCATAGTATACACAGAGGACCTGGTACAGACCTGTGCAGGTCCTGTGCTGCCGCCTCATTCTTGGTAATCCCATAGGAGCTTGGATTATATTGATCTAGGGGGCCTTGTTTTCTTGGTGTCGTCTATCCTTTCCATCTCCTCTTTCTCGGGGGTTTCCATGATCCCTGAAGGGAGGGACGATAACACCCCATTATAGGACAGTGTACAAGTGCTCTTAACCACTAAGCCACCTCTCCAGCTTCAACAGTTTTATTAAGTTGTATGATTTTAAGATTCTGATTAGACATCAACAGGTTCTTTGTGATGATTTCCTGCAGATGTTTAGTACATACTTTACTTGGATGTTGATTAAACAGTAGTTGGAACCTTGAGATTAAAAGGCTAGGGATTGAAAATGCTTTGTTCATACAGGGAGAATTCTCTGACAGTCCATTAATTTGTCATGATACTTTATTCCTCATCAAAAGCCTAACTAAGGTCCATGCTCATTGCAGAACATTGGTTAGTGTCTGCTGGGGAGTAAAATACACAGCAGTTGATATTTGTTTGTTTTGCTAAGCAAGTCGACGCCACTAAATATAGCCTGGCTCCCACTGTGTGGTTTTAAATAAACTCAGTACCTTCATATTCCACATGAGGACCTAAGTCGCTGAGAGAGCACTTGCCTAATATATGAGAGGCTCTCTAGTTCTGGGCCCTAAAATCAAAAGGCCCTGAACGGGCTGGAGAGATAGATGGCTCAGAGCTTAAGAGCAGTGGCTGCTCTTCCAGAGGTCCTGAGTTCAATTCCCAGCAACCAAATTGTGGCTCACAACCATTCATAATGAGATCTGTTGCCCTCTTCTGGCCTGCAGGCATACATGCAGGCAGAGCCCTGTATACATAATAAATAAATCATCTTTTAAAAAAGGCCCTGAAAATAATGTGTATTGTATTGCTTTAGTATTTTATATGGAATGAATGAATATGTACATATAAATGAAAACTAGGTTATTTGTCAATGTCTTGCTATCATTTAGTATACACTAGTCTTTTCTAACTTTACAGACAATAGGTCATATAATATACATGTGCAACTGTCAGATTTTAAGTAGAGTTGAAAACACATAGGAAAGAATAATGTAAATAAGAAGTATGGTGGCTGTGGTGGGCCACCACTTGGCCTCAGGCAGATGAATCAAGAGGTCAATGACCCTATTTCAATAAATAAATAAATAAATAAATAAGGGTAGGGACATAACTCCTGTATAGTGCTAAGTGCAGTGGCTGTGCAAGCCCGGTGACCCACACTTGGTCCCTGGAGCCTGTGATGGATGATGTAGTGACGTCTGTAGTCTTAGCACTCCTACCCCAAGGTAGGAAACAGAGGCAGAACTGCTAGAAGCTCATGGGCTTGCTGGCCGGAAGCATGTAACACAGCAGCAGTAACAAGAAGCCAGATAGACAGGGATGAGGAGTTCCCACCAGCCTCTGGTGCATACATGCCCAATTCAAGGGCCTATTTCTAAAATCAGGAAACCTCTATGGAGGTATAGGGGCACACAGTCAGGAGGGGGGTGAGTTGGGGGCTGTCTTAGGCAACAAAGTGAGTTCAGGTCATCTTGGATTATACAGTAAGACTTTGTCTCCAAAACCAGATGTAAAAAAATGGATGCTTTCAGCTATATGGTAAGGTTATGTCTGTTTTTAATTTTTAAGCCATCCCTCTTCCAGGTAATGTTCTCTATTGGTTAAATGTGGAACTGAGACTTGATTTTTCTGTAGGATGCTTCATTTGATGCTGTTCTTTGCTTTCTTCTCCCAAAGTGTTCGATTGACTTGAAGAAGAATGTGCTGGTGATTGGCACCACAGGCTCCCAAACCCCCTTCCTTCCTGAGGGGGAGCTCCCAGAGTGTGCCCGCTTGGCATATGGAACTGGGCGAGAGGACATACGGCCGGAGGAGATTGCAGACCAAGAATTAGCAGAAGCCATTCAAAAATCAGCAGAGGATGCAGGTATTGGGGTTGACCGTTTGAATAGTGCTGTGCTGTTAGTAGGGTGAAGACCTGTCCAGGAATTGGCTTCATTGTTCAGCAGTAGGTGTGCTCACTGTCTTCTTAACTGCTTTTTCCATCTCTTAATAAATACTGTGATGAGAGACTCCTGGGGCTGGAAAGTAGAAGTTTCCCTAACACACACAAAGCCCTGGGTTCAGTCCCTGGTACCACATAAAGTGGGTGAGGTGGTACACCCCTGGAATTCCAGCACTCAGGAGGTAAATGGGATAATCAGAATGCAAGGCTAGCTTGGAATACCTGTCTCAAAAAGGAGAGAGGGCGGGCAGGGGTTTGTATTGCTGTGGCTCACAGGTAAAGGCACTTGCTACAGAAGCCTAGAAATCAGAGGCCATTATACTCTCACCTAGGTATACCCACAGATACATACCATCATAATAAATAACTTTTTAAAGGATTTGTATTTCAACAGATCAAGAAGAAAGAATCTTGGTGGCTGGGTGTGGTGATGCACACATTTAATCCCAGCACTTGGGAGGCAGAGGCAGGTGGATCTCTGAGTTGGAGGCCAACCTGGTCTACAGAGCGAGTGCCATGACAGCCCTGGCTATTACACAGAGAAACTCTGTCTCAAAAAAACAAAAAAAGGAAAGAACAACAAAAACAAACGAAAGAAAGAAGAATCTAGGTATAGTGGCACATACCTGTTATAGCAGCAGTCCGAGACTGAGGCAGAAGAATCACACCTTCAGGCCCAGCTTAGTTTGAGTACTGAGTTCCACATTGTTTTAAAAAAAAAAAAAAAAAAAAAGAGGAGTAGAGGAGCCTGGAATGGTGGCACACATCTTAATCCCAGCACTCAGGAGGCAAATCGGATCTCTGCCTCGGAGTTCAGGCCACATCAGTCTACATAGTGTGACCCTGTCTCAGGAAAAGAGAGGAACAAGGATCCAGTGCTCTGGCCAAGGTTAGGTCATCATTTGCTCGGATGCTTCTAACACATCCTGTTTTATCCATAAAGGAAATTCTACAGTAAGCATACACATTCACGATCAGCAGTATTTCCCTAGAAATACAATTTATTGATTTGAAGGAAGGCATTATCACTGGGACTAAGCAGTGAAAATGTTTACTGAAAGTGCTGCCACCAAAAAGAAAAGCCAATGCCTAATCAATTGTATTTATGTTTGCTGAGGTCCCAGACTAAGACCACATAGCAACGCTTTGAAACCAAGCTCCCCTAATACCTTCTAAATCTGCAGAAAGAGCAGAATCTTCCGAGGAAAATGGATCAAGACAACTTTGCTGAAATTCCCCACCTGTTAACAGAACAGTGATTCTGGGGTGCATTTCCTAAAAACTGGAAAGAATTAACTTTTAAGAGAGTTTTCTTGAAGTCTCTGGTCAGGATTGTTCACACTTTCTGGTACAGTGTGTTAGAATTACAGGCTCATGGAATAGCTCTCTGCTCAAGACAAAGATAATGTGTTTGAAAAGTTGTGATATGTTTTCCTGGAGAACCTGCAGGCGTGTAGTCCTGAACCTCTGGAATGGGATTATGTAGCTGGTGGAACTTGCACATTGGCTTTGGTTACCTTAGTAAAGTGGGGTAATTTTGGTATTTTTTTTAGGAGAGGGAGTTTTGAGTTACCAGCAATCATTTTAATCTTCCTAGAAGGTCAGCATGAGTGGACTCATCCACCTCCTTGTCCTGTGGACAATAACTTGACAGCTCCGATGGGATGCTGGCATTTTGAGATATCCTTTCCCCATACAGCTATGTGCTATGACTAGAGACACACTAGCTGATGGCAGCAGTAGCCCTAGCCCGGCAACACTTAGCCTTCTGAAATGCACATCTTAAGGTTCAGGTGGCTAAAGTAGGTGACACCGTTTCAGGATCAGCAAAGGAAAGAGCTGACCAGTTCTGGAAAGCACTATATCCACAGAACCTTTGCTACTGACTCGTGTGACCTGTGCTGATTTTTGTTCTAATGGCGCAAAGTTAGAGTTGATTTATTTGGAGAACCAATTGCTTGAGATCATTAAAATCACAATTCTGTACATAATATGTGAAAGTATTTTTAGAAAGTTATTTACTTGACTAATTATCAGAATATCTTTACCCTTAGTATCTGTCTACAGTCAGTAGGAGCTATCTAACATCTGTATGCTGGTTAATTGTGAAAAAGGCAACAGCTGGGACTTAATCAGAGTTGGTTTATCTTCAGAAAATGAATATGAGCCAGGTGTGCTGGCACCTGCTTCTTATAAGCCTCACACTTGGGGTATCAAGTTCTAGGCCAGTCTGGTCTACATAGCAAGACCTTGTCTCAAAAAAACAAAATGACTATTGAGAAATTTGGAAAGATATTATACTTGTTCACTAACCTTTGTAGTGTGGTCTTCAAGCAGCTCTTTTGATGGTTTGACTTTGCCTGCGGCACATTTGCCTCCCACATCTGTGCAGAGCTGTGGAATCATTGTTTTAAAAGTACAGTTAAAAATCTGTTGATGTAGAAACCTTGCTGGTTGTATTTGGAGAGAGTTGAAGCAACCAGCAAATCTTTGGGATGGCCAAGCTGTGGAAACATCCCTCAATTTGGACTCCTCGCTGCTGACTTTGAGGATGGGATGGATTGAAGACTGCAGCCCTGCATGCTGTGTGGTTCTGCATTGTTAACCCACGTTTGCTTGTCTGTTTCCTAATCCAAACAGAGCGTCAGAAGCCATGATGCATGTAGTGTGTGTGCTGCAGCTGCAGTGGGCCCCAGACCAGGTATTTATAGATGTCACCTTCACTTCCCGTCCGCTTGTCACCCGTGCTTTGAAAAATAGCTGTCTGGATCCATTTTGGAAATTCAAGATTTGCCGTCTCTGTTTCTCCCTGTTCAATCTGGTCACAACTAACCTGTATATACATTTATATGTATGTTGGCATATATACATTTCGGCATAAGTTCTTACTTAAAATGTTATTGTTTATGGGGACAGTCCAGGGGACGGGAGGCTTAGTAGAAACTACTGTTGTACCTACCACCCCTGACAGTTGGAAATACTCAGTCACAATTATTGGCATCACAGCAATTTGTTGCAGATAACTGTGAATTTCTTTTACTTTGAAAATGTGGAAGTCCTCATATGTTTGAAGTTTATAGAAGGGCAAATTTTTCATCTTAGTGAGCAGAAATGGAAACTTGAGCCAAATGGATTATCAAGAGTCATAGTAATAGTTGGGCTGGGTGTGGTAATGAACCCTACCATCCTCTTCTTGGAAAGTTGAGGCAAGAGGATTCAAGGTTTGAGATCAGCCCCGACTGTGTAGTGAAACTTGTCTAGGGGGGGAAATGTTGACAGAACTTAAATTTTTTTCCCCAAACAGTAAGAGCTGAGACTGAGCCTCCTCTTCTGTCCTTGGCGTGACATCTGTGGGAGGCGTCTGCTGCCTCTTCTCTGTTATCAGCAGGACCGCCGTAGTTTGCTGGTTTTATCTGAAGCAGAACTTTGATAAAGTTTTGGAGGCTGGTTGTAATTAGTCATAACATTTCATTCTCTCCCTCTCCTATTTTAACGGCCTTAGGCATAGTTAATGCCCATTAGCCTCCTTTTGTAACCCTGTAGTACTGGCTATTTCAGTTTCAAAAGGATGACAAACATGTTGCTCGAATAGTAAGTACAGAGTCTACTAAGGCTTACCTTTACCTCACTAAGAACTTTATAGATTTAGTGGAGTAGTTTAAACAGACAAGACCGTTATCCTGTTTGCCACTAAAATATAAGACAAGGAAGTTCCTTAAGTCAATAATTGAGCCAGGCGGTGGCAGTGCTTGCTTTTAATCCCAGCAGTGGAGGGGGGGGTGCGGCAGGGGGAGCAGAGGCAGGGGGGTCTGAGTTTGGGGTCAGCCTGATGTACAGATGGAGTTCCAGGTTAGCCAGGGCAACACAGAGAAATCTTGTGGGGCAGGGGGAGAAATCAATAACTGTCAGATATGGTGACCCATGGTATTGTAGCACCTGCCTAGGATTCCAGCGATTGAAAAATGGTGGTGGCAGAATCTCTCGTTCAAGAATAGCCTAGAGGTACCTTTAATCCTAGCATTTAGGAGGCAGAGGCTTGAGGATCTCTTGAGTTCAAGGCCAGCCTGGTTTGCATAGTAAGCTCCAGGTCAAAGGACCACATAAAGAAATTCTGTCTCAGGCCTGGAGAGATGGTTCAGCTTAAGAGCACTGGCTGCTCTTCCAGAGGTCTGGTGTTCAAATTCCCAGCAACCACATGGTGGCTGACAACCATCAATGGGGTAATGGGATCTGATGCCCTCTTCTGGCATAAAAGTGTACATAAAGATAGCAATAAATATTTTTAAAAAGGAAAGAAAGAAAGAAGAAAGAAAAAGAAGCCCTGTCCCAGCCCAGAAAAGGAAAACCCAGCAGCTTCCCAGCACAGCCACACTGCCATGCTGCTGACCTGTCTCTGGTTAGCGTGTCTGCCGTTTGAATCCTAACTGCTCTCTACAGGACTGATGCTGATGGTTCTAGTCAGTGCAAAGCATCCGAATGGAGGAGCCTGTTGTTTGCAACCTGTGCCTTTTAATTAAAGACATTACGGGTGTTCAGAGTCCAGTCTTTAATGGTGCCAGAAGTTGGACCTATTGAGTGGTATCATTGTGGCATCTGCACTGAGCTAGTTAGTGTTTGAGCCGGCCATCATGTTTGAAGGGCTAAATTAGAGTGAACCCCTTCACCCTCCCTCCCCTGTATTCAGCAAAGAACTTAAAACTCTTGGGTTTTTTTTATTGTATATTAGAGTTGCAGTGTTTAGAAGCTGGGCATGCTAATTAGTGTATGGTAATCCCAGCACTCAGACTGAAGTAGGAAGAATGCCACAAGTTTCAGACCAGACAGAACTACACTGTAGGGCTAGAGATGTAGTTGAATTTGTAGAGAGCCTTCCTGGCATACAGAAAGCCTACGTTTGGTCCCTCGCACCATATAAACTGGGAACAGTGATTCGCACCCATAATTCCAGCACTGGAAGGGATCATCTTTATATATCAAGCTCGAAGCCAGCCTTGGAGACATGAAATCTTGCCTATCAAACACTATAAATAATTGTAGTGTTTGATCAGATAAATTCCGTCTGCTTCATCTTTAGGTTGTATTGGGTGCTCTTTGTATTGGGTGCTCAGTTTTGCTGTGACTTTTTAGAAGCTTGACTAGAACTGAGATCCATTGTTTACTTCTCTGTCTTCTAGGTATCCCTAAACATGTCATCCCCATCTCTCTTGGTTGCCCCATTCGTCCCCAGCATACTTGCTTTTGGACTTCTGTGTAACTTGTGCTCACACTTGAAACCTGAGAAAGTGCACTGAGCCAGCTGTGGTGGCCCAGGCTGTAATTCCAGCACTCAGGAGGCTGACTGATCCAGTTCAAGACTGATCTGGGCTTTAAAAAAAGAAAGAAAAGAAAAAGAGTAAAAACTCAAGAGAATCATCCAGTGAAGACCCAAAAATTCATTAGAAACTGAGAATCATGACGGCTTGGCCTGGCGGGATCCTCCCACCACCCCGCACTCCAGCAGCTCAGACTGCATGGAAAGACACTGCCTGAAGTAAACCCATAAATGTCTTTGAGTGTGAGCACTGGCACAGCCATTGTGATGTGCATGTTAACAGCTCTTTGCATTTGGAATTTTAATGTTTCCTAAAGACACACTCACTGTGGGCTCAGTGATGCCACCTCACATCACAGAAAGATTCTTGTATTTTCCTGAGCCTCATGTTTGCAAGAGAGACCTAAACTAAAAGACAGCTTTTATTCTGCTGAGGGTTCATTCTCTGATCGTTTAGTGGTCTGCTAACTAATCTGTTTTCTTTCCCTTTTTTTTTTTTTGTTTGTTTGTTTGTTTGTTGTTTTTGTTTTTGTTTTTTTAAACAGAGAAAAGCAGTAAAGAATCTACCTCACTGGGAATATCATCATTGCTGACTTCAGATGGATTCAATCATCCAGTCCCTTCTTCAGGGCAAAGTCCTGAGGTTGGTAGCCCTACGAGTCTTGCTCGCTCTGTCTCTGCTTCAGTCTGCGCCATCAAGCCCAGTGACCCCAATAGCATTGAACCTATAGCTATGGAGGCTATGAAGGCTTCGGCTGAATTGCAGACGAACTCTAAGGAAACAGAGCCTCCTGCTCTGCAGGCTCTTCCTCATCTCGCTTCCCCAGCAGGCCAGGATCCAGCTATGCCTTTGCGTCTTTCATCTGAAGAAGCATTTGTTACAGATAATCCAGAGAAATCTGTGGAAAGAAGAGCCCAGGGCCTCAGAGTTTATCTCCACACAAGACAGGACACTAGTTTATCTCTCACAACTACTGGGATGCATGGGCTACAGGGGTTTGTAGAAGAAAAGAGTTGGCATCCAGAAAATCCGAACCCCAGTCAAGTGAATGGCCTTCAGCAACACAGAGAACCACACAGAGGGAGAGGACAACAGGATGTTCCACGTGACCAAGAATGTCTTTGTGACACAGAAGACCTTGAACTTCATGGAGAAAAGCAACAGGACCAAGAAAAAAATGTCATTTTGGAAGGTGTGATGAAAGGAGATGAACTACAAACCAGTGCTGGTCTTGTGAGTACAGAGGAGAGTCTCCTGGCTTCAGGGCACTGTAGCTGTTCATGCTCGGAAACCCTGATGGAGGTGGATACAGTTGAACAGTCTCTGGTTGCTGTTTGCAGCTCCTCAGGCAGGCAGAAGGCCAGAACCAAGAGCCCTAGTCCATCTCATCTCACATCCCATAATCCCTCCATGGAGACGGAAACAGTGCAGTGTAACCCCTCTTGTGAAAGCATGGAACATTCCATCTCCACTCGGGATTTGCAGCCCCCAGAAGATAATGTTGAAATGTCTGCGATGGATAGCAAAGATAACATCAGTTCCTCTTCCCCTTTAAGTGATCATGGTCAGCCCTCTGTGGAGGCACCCGAAGAATTTTGTTCATCTGTCACAGTGGCCTTGAAAGAACTGCATGATCTTTTGGTCATTAGCTGTAAGCCAGCTTCGGAAAATGCATCTGAAGATGTTTCCTGCCAGTCAGAGATGGAAGCTGAGAGCCAAACAGGTATTTTGGACCATTTAGGAAGAAGGGTCCAAAGTGAGCATCTGACCATTAGTGACCAGTACCCACAAGTCTCCTGTCACCAGGCCACCTCTGAATCAGAAAAGATAGACACCACTTGTGCTGGGACAGAAGATGGAGCATGCACTAGCTTCAGGGGCCTGGGGGATAGCTCTTCAATTGGCAGAGAAGGTGTCCCCAGGCCAAGGGAGTCGGTCAGGAAGAGCTGCTCTGTCGCCATAACCTCAGCTAAACCAGCTGATCAGTCGCATTGCACCTCAGATGTAGAAATTTCACCCACATTTGTAGCAGGTGAGGAGGGTACCCACAGTCAGCCTTCTGAGCACATGCAGAATCCAGGCACAGCCAGCCTGGAGACCAGTGATGTCTGCCCTGGAGCTGCGCCACCCTCCCATGGATCGGATCCGCCTGCCACACAGTCCTTGTCTTCTCCCTCTGCTCTTCCACCTTTCGTCTTTCCTGCCGCAGATGTTAACCGGATACTTGGTGCTGGCTTCACTCTGCAGGAAGCCCTCGGGGCTTTGCATCGAGTTGGTGGGAATGCAGACCTTGCACTTCTTGTTTTGCTAGCAAAGAACATTGTAGTCCCTACGTAATTGTGGGAAAGTGGGCCAGACCCTATCCTATTCCATTCCCTTTGTGAAGTCCTCTCCACACAGATACACTCACCACACACACACACACAGTATATGTAGAAACCTGCAAGCAAAATGTTGAGCCAGATTTTTTTTTCCAGCCAAAGTAATTTATGATCTTTTGTCTGATGAATTTGTCTATTTGTTAAAATTTGGGCCTTTTAAAATGTATTGGCAGTATGTGCATACAAAAGCTTTTTATTCTCATTAAGATGATGTACTCTGGAATAAAATGGATGGTTTTGTGTATAGCATACCATGTTAGATGAGTGAATGCTTGGAAAGCAGGAGCCATCAAGAGCCTGCCACCCGTGCAGCTAGGAACATGGCAGCCCCTGCTGTGGCTCTAGCTGTACTGTGTGCAGAATATGGCTTGTAACAGGAAGCTGGAGAAGTCACTAACTCCTGGAGTTGTGTGTGTTGATTTGTGTGCTCAGGGTGACATTTAAATAAGGTGAGCGGGAGGGCTTGGCACTTGGTATGTCTTGTGCATTCATAGGCTGCTGCATGGATTGATTGCCACATACCTTTGAGATGGTGGGTGGGGTGTGGGGTTCACAGCAGAGTGAAACATGGTGCTACTTGTATTTAAAAAGGAAGGGGAAAAAACCTGATCATAATTCCATTTGCAAATGTCAAGGACTGTGAGTAAAAGAATGGCTTAGAGAAAGCACTGGAATGTACTAGCAATAGGGCTTGGGGGCATCTCACTGACACCCCAGCCCTCAGTGGCCAGTGGTGAGTCCTCGTTCAACTCATGGGTTGGCCGCCATGAGCCTAGCTTCTGAAACTCGTCTGTTGGGAAATTCCTCCCACACTCAGTCTGAGCTGATCGAGACCATGAGCTGGGAGAACCTTTGTTCCTAGTCCTCTTGGTGCTTAGCCTGGTCAGTCTGTGAGTGTCCTTCATGGCAGTAACTATGACTGAAGTTGTGACTACAGTGGCCTTGGTACAGTTTTCATCCTTTTCTTTCCTCAGGAGTTTATTTTCTAAGCTGGATCCATGTTTGTGTTCTCACGTTGAGTTACAGTGGGGCAGAATGCATAGATGTGTTTTTTGTGGCCTTTTTGGTATACATTCTCTACTTGCAAGTAGTCCTGTGGGCCTCACTGTGCAATAATCCCTACAGAGAGGTTTGAAAGCATCCTTTTCCTGGAATATAAGCTGTTGTCTTAGATGTCTGGCAGGAATCTGGAATCTTGCTTTTCTTGAAAAGGGTCTTGAGGATAATTCCTGGTTCCCAGTGAGAGGTTGTGTGTTGAAATGGATTTCTGAACTTAGCATTAACTGGTTTTTGTCTAAAGCCCCCCCCCCCCTTTGCTTTCCATCAAAACTGAAGTCACCGAGCACAGACGATTCATATCTCAGGAGTTTTTGAAACTTTAGGGACACTTACAGGGATCTGTCCTCTGATCCGTTTCTTCTTTTTGCCATTTTGTTTGTGTGCCGAGACTCACTTCAGTGACATGATGGTAAGTCACACGGAGTGTCATGATCCTCTCTGGAATTAGGAAATGGTTGCTGAATGGCCTGTGGTTTTCCTCCTCTCCATTAGGCACTCAGAACATCAGGCTAACCGAGAAGTTCTTTGTTTCAGACGAGTACAGCTTGTCCACTGTCTGCATGTTCTGCACCAAAGATGTGTGTGTGATACACTGGGAAACTGCTCCCAGGATTCTGTCTCCCAGCTTAGAGCTGTAGTTAAAGCAAGATCAAGTAACAGCTCAGTGAGGCCTGCATTTGCTGGGGGTGGCTGGTTTATTTTAGGGTTACAAATCTTTGGGGCACAGGATGGGGTGTGTAGAGAAGGTACTGATGACAGGCTCCACAGGAGCCTTCTGAGCAGAAGAAACTGGCATGCAAGCCCAGTGGTCTGGCCACTGACTTGTTATAATGTAGATGTTTGGGAGACAGCCCTAGGCAGAGTGTCAATACCAGCCCGGAAAAGATTTTGTTACAGTAGCTTTTAATGTACTTACATGTATGTTCATTTGTAGAAGCAAACTGGTAGACCAATAATTACACTGATATCTTTTTAGGGATCCTTTAACTGAACTTACTTGCCAATTACTTGGTTCCTTTGGGTCGTTACTTGTCAACATATAGTTACTTTTGAATTTTAAACAGTGTCAAAAAAAAATAAATAAAAGGCCAGGCATGCTGGCATATACCTTTAACCCCAGGAGGCAGGATGATCTCTGTTGAGTTCAAGGCCAGCCAGAGCTACATTAGTGAGTCGCTGTCTAAAAACAGAAAAGGAAAAAAAAAATCTTTTGTCTGATATTTGTATAAGAGTAAAGTTAGGAATTGATTGACTTAAATTGAGCAGTCCTAGAACAGACACTTGTGGGCCTTCCGTTGTCCATTTTCCAAAAGTAAGATCAAATCCTAGTGAATCCTAGTGTTCAGCATGTTAGATTACAGCCATAACCACAAGTAGCAGCTTCTTTATCAAACTGTGTCAGGAGGTTCAGTGGTCAGCACTCACCTCCAGGGGTGGTCTCCATTTATGCACCAAAGAAGATTTTCTTGTAAGACGTGTACTGAAGCTCATGTGTTGAAAGGGGCTTGGTAGCCACACAGTGTAACTGCAGCTGGAGATTTGACCCTTTGGGTCTTTGAAGGCCTTCATCCCACAGTTTGGGCTTTAGGTGTTGAATGTGAAGATGAAACCAGTTGTTTGGCAAAGGAAGCTTGAGTAGATGGTGAATAGTGCATGAGAGCCCTCAAACCCAGTCCCTCCGATCGGGGTGTCTCCCCAAAGTACTTCTCTGGAAGAGGGTGCCTAGGAATGGGCTAGGGGACCTGGTGTCACTGCCTGTCTGTCCCTCTCTACAGCTTTCTATCTCTTGGGAAAGCCATAAGAATTTGTTTCAACTTTTCAGCTCATGTCTATAAATAAATATGTAAGCTATCATATATAAGGTGATTGACAAATACTTTGCATAAGTTGAAGAGCAGCTTTGATGCGTACAGATGTCTGCGCATCTAGTGGCTTTTCTTCCTGCTATGTATATAATAAACTGCCTTGCAAATAACTGTGCAGGAGAATCAAGGCAAATTTTCTTTTGTTGTATGGGTTTTTTGTTTGTTTGTTTTGTTTTTGGAGATAAGATCTCACCATAGCCCAGGCTGTCCTCAACTCATGGTAATTCTGCCTCAGCCTCTAGAATGGTGTGTTTCTAGGCTCGAGCTGCCATGCCCAGTTCACACAGTGTGTTCCATTGCTACCTGTGGAGAGCGTGAACAATGTGGCTGAACTGACTGGTAGGGCTTGGTGGCTTAATGGTAGAGCTCCTTCATCACATGTGAGGTCCAGGGTTTGACCACCAAAAAATAAAAGTAAAAGCTGGTCTTGGTGATATAGTAGAATCTGTGGCTGACTACAAAGGCAAAGATTACCATATATTTCCCTCCTGGAGAATGAAGGTGTCTTGTCTCAGTAGTTAAGATAGCGTTTTGTGTTTCCAAGTCAACTCAGTAGTTCACCTGAGGACTGGCACGGAGCTGTGAGTTACCTAACCCCCAAGTGTTGATAGAGCCGCAGTAAGGACTTTGGGGTGAGCCTCGGATGTACTTGCTTTTCTTTTGTGCCTTAATTTTTTTGAATAGCAGAAGCATCACATCTTGGGAGTATCAGGGAAAGGTCAGAGGGCAGCTCTCCTGGAGAGGGCTGGCCATGGGGTGTGGTCCTTGGCTCATAGCCACTTTGATTCATTCTTCCCCCGCATCAAACATTAGGTCTCCCCAGGATAGGAGTTTCTGCATCCTGTATACCAAAAATGGCTTCCAGGTGATTGCTAGGTTTTCTGTTGTGCATTTTGTGCTGTGTTAGGGAGAAATTAAATCTTGCATCCTAAATAGGAAGTTGACTTATCCTGTCAGGTATGAGCAAGAGCCCATTGATTTGTTCATCAAACATGGGTACCCCTGAAGCCTGGGAGGTCAGCAGCAACTGAACTAGACTGAGCCTTGCCTTAGAAGCCTTCATTCTAGGAGAGACATGCGACAAGTTTTAACCACGATCTGTTTTTACCTATTGGCATGCTTTTTTGCCCAGACTGGCCTTGAACAAGTAGCAACCCTCAAGCAGCTAGGATTATGGGGTTATAGGCACATTCTATAATGTCTGGATAGCATGCTTTTATTTTTAAGCATACTTGGTTGCAGTTTAGAACTGACTGGGGGGAAAAATCAAACCCACAGTGAAGTCAGATGCTGTAACCTAGAGTTACACTTTAAAATGTTTAGTTTTGTTTAAAGTAATTAGGGGCTGGTTGTGGTAGTGAACACCTTTATAAATGCAAGGCCATTCGGGGCTACAAGGAGAAGTTGTCTCAAAATAAGTAAATGGAAATAAACAATTGATGTTGGGGAATCCATCCCATTGATGGTAGAGTGCTTGCCTAGCTGCAGAAAGCCTTCAGTTCAGCCCCAGCACTGCATAATCCAGGTATGCAATAAGCATGTAATCCCAGCACTGCGGAAGTCGAGACAAGAGGATCAGAAGTTCAAGGTCATTCTTGGCTGCAGAGTGAGTTTTCAGGCCGCTTTGGTTACATGAATCCCAGTCTCCAAAAAAGTGGGGGGAGAGATATAGATGTTTGACCCCAAGCACTGCAAAGAAAAAACTGAGAAGATGCTGAAGAGCCAATGTGTGATGCTGTCAACCAGAAAGAAACAGGCGGGCCAGAAGTCAGGGAGTGATAGTGACCTTCCCTTCCTGTGTCACACTGATACATACAAGCAGGTGTGCAGCAGCATCCTCCACCCTCCAGTGAGCGCAGCTGCACCGGGATGCTGACCATCTGGGAGAGCAGAGCTCAGCAGAGGCCTCTGCAGGCTGTGCTATTTTAAGGCAGCTGAGTGCCGTGTGTGGAAATGGAAATCAGAGCAGAAAGCTTAGTGAAGGATGGGTCCGGTAGGCCGGCAGGGCTGCTTTGCAGAACTCTGCACACTCTGCAAGACGTTCTCTAACCCAATGCATGCATTCCTGCAGCATAGAAGGAAAGTAGGTTGTTAGAGATGTCTGGGCTTTACTGTTAGGAAAGATGCTCAGAAGTTAAGCAGTAATTAAGACTGGAGGGGGGGCGGGGAAGGGGGTTGGAATGCTAAGTTTTAGGACGCTATCTAGGAGATCTGCCAAGAAAATGGCTTGAGAACATAGGAGTTTTCCTTACCTGCCAAGTTTGAACCACAGATCAGGAGGTGTCGTGTAGTCCAAGATCCAGGTTGCTTACAGAGCTGTGAGGAGG